CTGTTCCTCTAGACATAGCACAAGAGATGCCCTTCAACGTCTGATACCGCTTGCAGGATATCAAGACACTTGGCTTGCTTGCATAGCACAAGAGTGGAAGATGTTTGCATCCTGTCCTTTAATGTCTTGTACCATATGTAGGATAACAAGACGCCTTGGCTTGCATGTAAAACCACAGGTCCTTGGCCGTTTGCCCAGAGGAACAGTTCTCTCTACTGGTCAACAAGTCATGCCATGCTAATTCTGGGAACAAGTAGTGTGCTCATGTTCTGCTGACTTTGGGTCTCAGCCAATCTGACCCAGAGACGTCTCCTACACACAACTGGTGAAGCGTAGACCTAGGATTCACACTGATGCTATCACTGTCCTTAGTTTTCCTCTTAATCATTACTAAGCTCACCTAAGACATTACCTTTCATCACAGTTGTATTTCTTCCAGTATCTAGTTAGCTATTAGGCATAGAGAACTTGCTCCATAAATATGAATCAATATATGTATGAGCTGATGCAGTGATAAAGTTTGCTCTTTTTAAATGTGGTTAAACTACATGACTCTGGGGCAATCAACAAATTCTGACTCTCCACGTGATTATTTATATAATGGGCCATTTAAAAAAGTAATTGTAAATGTATTTCAGGACTAAAATAGTATGGTATTTTCATTATCAATGTTATTATGATTCTAGCCTACAGTGATTCTTTAATATCTCCTGTTTGCAGGTTACCTTGTAGGTTAATCATCACTTCCTATTTCTTCTTACCTCCTATTCATAAATGAAACTCATATCAAAAAGTTTTTCCTTAGGTTAATTGGATCTATTTTATTAATGATGAATGATCTCTTCCCACCTCACTCCAGAAAAATAACTGAGCATTATAATTGGTCACTTGACACAAGAATAGCACATGAAGATTGTCTTTTTTTCCACCAGCAAATCCCAAAGGAATGCTCATGATTATATGGTCTCTCAGTATTGTTACTATTGGAAAGAGGATTCCTATGGAGTGAGTAGAAGGCACTTTTTATTCTAAGGTAATGTGGAAGATTTTAGATTTCAGTTGAAATTCAAATGAAATGATCATTTATCTTCATGCAAATACGTATTTTATTTAATTAACCAAAGGGAAAAAAAGGTCAATAAATCACAATATGGACATAATGCAAACAAACCATAGCATAATTCTAATTTGTAAAATAGAATAGAGTTTTCTTTCCTATAGTTATATTTGAAGAAGAAAACTGAAGTGTCCCCCAAATGTCATCTATTCAGGTTTTATTTTCTTTTTCAGTGAAAAATAGTTAAATGTGTTTTTGACTTTTTTTTTCAATTTTGCAAATGCTTTGTAGCTATAGCCCACTGTTTTCTCTCCTGTGATCTTGTAAATACCTTTTTAGTTCTTAGCATAGGTCAATGTGTACAAAAATTACAAGGGGTCAATATTTTCATAACTTTAAATTTTTTTTCTATATTAGGCAGTGCATGAGATAAAACTCCTTAAGTGGAGTGAAAGAATACATATCATTGGGATCATACTATACATTTGTAGCTATTATATAACTCAAGAAATATGTGATAAAGGACCAAACTGAATGGCACAGACAACAGGTGCATTAAGCCTGGAGAGGACTGAGGGATTCCTAAGAGATCAGCTTATTTTGGTGTGACCATTCCCAGATGCACCTGCTTTTCAAAAATTCCTCTTGATCAAAGGGGCTGTTTGATAGATAGGGAGGAGAAATGATCATGGGGAGAAGTTTTCTGAGGCCCCAAGTCCAACAACGTAAGGAGCCAGCTTTAAGTTTATGAAGGAATGGCAAGTAAATATAGCTAAGAAAACTTTCTGCTGTCTCTCTACTATACACACACACACACACACACGTATATATATATAATACATAATATATTGAATTATATATATAATGAATTACATATGATCTCTTCCCACCTCACTCCAGAAAAATAACTGAGCATTATAATTGGTCACTTGACACAAGAATAGCACATGAAGATTGTCTTTTTTTCCACCAGCAAATCCCAAAGGAATGCTCATGATTATATGGTCTCTCAGTATTGGTACTATTGGAAAGAGGATTCCTATGGAGTGAGTAGAAGGCACTTTTTATTTAAGGTAATGTGGAAGATTTTAGATTTCAGTTGAAATTCAAATGAAATGATCATTTATCTTCATGCAAATACGTATTTTATTTAATTAACCAAAGGGGAAAAAAGGTCAATAAATCACAATGAATTACATATATATATAATTACATATATATATAATGAATTACATATATATATAATTCAATATATTATGTATTATATTTCACTCATTCTTTGTACAAGGAACCTTGGGAAAAATGATTTCAAAGTTAGTATCAAGTACAGCAATGTGTTACCTAAACTTCTGGTTCGTTTGCTTGTCTTTGGACACTTCTAATTATATATATGAGCTACTAGAAAATTTTGAGTCAAATCTGTGGTCCACATGGAATGGTGGATAGGACTTGTTGGTATACAGTAGGTTTTATCTCCAGCTCCATTTTATGGTCAGTTCACTCTTTTTTTTTTTCCCCCCCTTTTCACAGTCTCTTAATCTATGCAATTTTCCAATGTAAATATTAAAGGTGGCTTAATGTGTCTTATGTCTCATACTAAACCACCTTCAACCCTTTTTACTTGGGAAAAACATTGATGTACATATTCATAATGTGTATACATTCACACTTTTGTATACTTTATGCATTAATAATTGTAGATGAAAACAAGAGAGATTAGGGAAAAAATATCTCTTGCAACTTTCATTCCCAAATAGAATTTTGAAAAAAGGTCCAGAAATAAATTATCCAGCTTCATAAAAAGCCATATATTAAAGAAAGGCAATTTCTGCAGAAGAACACATAAAAATCTAGGCAATCATAGTACAGGTGCAATAGGAGATCCTTGGAAGGTAAAGCAAATATATCTGAGGGATGGATCACTGAGATGAACAAATCATGAAATGTAGACAATGCAGTATGTAGTTTTAACTTCTAGTTTTCAAAGTGATTTCTCATTTTTGTAATGTCATAAAGTCCACCCGAACTTTAAAAAAAAAAAAAACAGATAATAAAATAGATTTCTGGAAGTGATCATTTTGTCCACTATTTGCAGTGGCTAATTCATTTCAGAACCCAGGTCTCCTGATTCTTGGTCCTAAACTGCTTCCAGGAATATGCTTTGCTAGAAATGCCCTCAGCACCTAAGAGCCTTGATATGCAAAAACACGAAAAACATCACTTATCCCAATACTCTTTGTTTATTGTGAAGAACTTATACTTTGACAATAACTACAGCATTAATATTTGTTTAGGTAAAAAGTATAGATTCTTAAAAGGCTAGTGAAAATAAATTGTCTCTCACCATAAAGGTATGGTTCTAAGAGAGCAATTCTTTATTTTTGTAGCTCAATTTTAAATCCTCGTACTAGCACAATGGCCAAAATTAATTTGTTTGGTTTTGTTTTCCTAGAGAAAGAGATTTTTAAACCTTGGATGCACTAGCAGAAATTTATCATCCCATGCCAATCTAGAACTCTGGCAATCATAATCTCACCCTTCTCTGAGTGTGGTCAGTGGTAATAGGAGCCCTCTGAAGGATGTTGTGTCCCCCTTGATGGGCACTATTCTCCCCTTCTCCTTCCTCTGAGGGAAAGAGGACTCTGGGGTTGTGTTTTGTAATTGACTGTGTTCGTTTCTGACTGATGCTGTAACAAATTGCCACAAATTTGGCAATTTAAAACAGCAGAAACATATTCTCTGGAAGTTCTGGAAGTCAGAAGTTTGAGGTCAGTACCTCTGGGTCAAAATCAAGATGTCAGCAGGGCCACACTCCATACAGAGGTCTAGTGGAGAATCCATTCCTTTTCTCTACCAACTTCTTTTGGCTGCCGGCGTTTATTGGTTTGTGATTGCATGATTCCAATTTCTGCACCCATGGTCACCTTGCTGCCTCATCTTCTGTCTGTGGTCATATCTCCCTGTTCTAGGGGTAATTGTGATTGCATTTTGGGCCCACCGTGATAGTATCCCCATTTCTACTTTCTTAATTTAAAAATATACACAAAGACCTTTTCCCCATATAAATTAATTCTCACAGTTTCCTGGGATTAGAACCTGAATATCCTTGTGGGTCATTATTCATTCTACCATACTTTCACAAACCATTCAGTTTAGATAGTGTCCTTCTTTTTTTTTTTTTCTAAAACTATTCTGTAGGAAATTCAACCCACATTAAGATCACAATTATTCAATGAGTAATATTTTCACTTTACTTCCAGGTCTATTTGAGGGTCATACCATCGGCATGGTCCTCAAGCACCCTAAGTGCAACCAGAAGAGAAGATACACAAATTACCCTCTCCCAAAAAGGAGGAAAAATTAGATTGAAAATCTAAAGTGATGTACACTATGCTATTATATTAATGTCCTAAATAACTAATCTCTCAAGACAGTTTAGAACTGATTTTCCAGTTATCCAAAAGGAATGATACCCATTCAGCATCAACACATCCCACAATGAACAACAAATATGAATCAGTTGGATACTTTATTTATTTATTTATATGTTTAGAGACAGAGTCTCATTCCGTCTCCAAGGCTAGAGTGCTCTGGTATCAGCCTAGCGTACTGCAACCTCAGACTCCTGGGCACAAGGGATCCTACTGCCTCAGCCTCCCAAAGAGCTGGGACTACAGGCACGCACCACCTCACCTGGATAATTTTTTCTATTTTTAGTAGAGACAGAGTCTCACTCTTGCTTGGGCTGGTCTAAAACTCCCGAGCTGTAGCGATCCTCCCCCCTTGGCCCCCCAGAGTGCTTGGATTACAGGCGTGAGTCATCATGCCCGGCTGAATTTTCAATTATCCAGAATGACAAATGATGGGGAAACACACAGTGATGTCTTAAGACATGATATATGTATTAATCTTTTCACAGAAAGGGACCAGAAACCCAAAATCAATGGATGAGAAAAATTTCACCAAGGTGAAGGAGTTCATCCTTTTAGGGTTTACAGCAGACTTGGGCTTACAGCGAGTGCTCTTTTTCATCTTCCTCATCATTTATGTGATCGGTCTTTTAGGGAACATCACCCTGATTTCTCTGATCTCTGCTGACTCTCGGCTGCACATACCCATGTATTTTTTCATTGGAAACCTGTCCTTCCTGGATGTCTGGTATCCTTCCGTCTATGCCCCCCAAATCCTGATGACCTGCATCTCTGATGACAAAAGCATCTCCTTTGCCGGCTGCCTGTGCCAGTTCTTCTTCTCTGCAGGGCTGGCCTGCAGTGAGTGCTACCTGCTGGCTGCCATGGCTTATGACCGCTATGCGGCCATCTCCAACCCCCTGCTTTATTCCCAGGCTATGTCACCGAGGTTGTGTGCAAGTCTTGTTGCAGCTTCATACATTGGTGGCTTTGTAAACTCAACTATCATCACCAGTGAGACATTTACCTTGAGCTTCTGTGGCAACATCATTGATGATTTCTTCTGTGACCTGCCCCCACTTGTAAAGCTGGCATGTGAGGTGAAGGAGAGCTACCAGGCCGTTCAGTATTTTATACTAGTCTCCAACATCATGGCGCCCACTGTGCTTATTCTCGCCTCCTACCTCTTCATCATTGCAGCCATCTTGAGGATCCGCTCCACCGAGGGCCGCCTCAAGGCCTTCTCCACGTGTGGATCTCACCTGACGGCTGTCACCTTGTATTATGGGACACTCCTCTTCATTTATTCCCGGCCAAGCACTAGCTATGCCCTGGAACGGGATAAAGTGGTGTCCGTGTTCTATACTGTGGTGATTCCAATGCTGAACCCTTTGATCTATAGCTTCAGAAACAAAGACGTCAAAGATACCTTGAAGAAAATGTTAGCTAAAATTAAGTTTTCTTAAATGAAAATACTCGATAAACAAAGCTACTTAAAAATAGATTATTTCCATGTTGTTGATATCAACCTGTACTCTTAGAAATAAATAAAATGATAATAAAATTTAAAAAAATAATTTTATAAAGTGGGGACGAGCAGTCTGCATTTTTCTTAAGTTGACACTAATGTATTTGAATGTATTTTTTAAATGAATGAGGCTAGGGCCTGTGGAAAAATTGTTATTCATGCTAGCTATAAATTATTGGGAGTCTCAAAGTTTGAAAGAAAGCAGTATTTTACAAATTTTCATTTAACATTTTATAGATTGTTTGTATCTATAATATTTTAAACTAAATAAATGAGAATAATATAACTGGTTATGGGATTATTTGTCAGAATTTAATGGATTAAATGTCCTACTTCAAATTATGTAGTTCATTGTTGAGAAAACAGGAATATAAACTCAAAACTTATAAAAAAAAATAACAAAAACAACAAAAAAAAAACTAGAAAAGGAAAAGGTATTTACTTCACTTGTTAAGATAGAAAGTGAGTTAGAAAGTCATACAAAATATCTACTATGAAAGGCCCCTAGGAAAACAAGGTTTATTTTCTGGTTCTCATTTCTTGGCTTGCTATAATACAAAGGTAACAGAATTCCTTGGCAATAGATGAAGTAGAGAACAAATATCATCACTTAGAATCACTGTATACTTTCTATAAAGAGTAGTCTTCCTAACAATTAAAAAAATCCTGTGGAAAGTAATTTGGAGACACCTCAAAGAAATAAAAATAGAAATACCATTTGATCCAGCAATCCCACTACTAGGCATCTACCCAAAGGAAAATAAAAGGCATTCTATAATAAAGACATTTGCACTCAAATGTTTATAATAGACAATTCACAATTTGCCAAGATGTGGAAACAACCCAAATGTCCATCAATACATGAGTGGATTAATAAAATGTGTATATGTATACCATGGAATGCTACTCAGCTACAAAAAACAATGGTAATCTAGCACCTCTTATATTGGATAGAGATTGAGCCCATTCTTCAAAGTGAGGTATCACAGGGATGGAAAAAATGCACCACATGCACTCACCATCAAACTGGTTCTAATTGATCAACCCTAAGGTGCTCACATGGTAGTAATACGCACTGGGGGCCAGTCAGGCAGGCGGTGGGGGTTGGGAAGTAGAGCGGGTGGGGTGAGTAAACCCACAGATAATGGAGACAGGGCACACTGCATGGGGGAAAGACACGCTGTGGCCCTGGCTTGAGCGAGGCAAATACATTTCATGCAACCAAAATGTTTGTATGCCCATAATAACCTGAATTTAAATAAATAAACAAATTAGACACTGAAAGAAAAGGAAATGCCTCACCTGACCCAGCATATATTTTAGGATATCAGAGGCTCCATTCTACAATGATTATTTGTATGGTCATTCGAACCATAAAACTAAAGTACTGTGGATTGATGTTGGTTGAAACTGTAGAGTAAATTTACCGAATCTCCTCCTCGGTAGACGTATTATTGTATGATATGCCTGAGTTGCTAGCAAGACAGGATTGGGAGACAGGCTCTAAGATACAGTAATCATCTTCAAAGAGTTTACAAGATAAAAAAAAAATAAGATTTATTTGGGAGAACAATATGTGCATCATTTATGAGTGAAAAATATCCCTAATATATAAAGAATTGCTTTACATTAAATATGAAAAATGAGTAGAATGAAAGAGTAGAATAAAAGAGCTAAAAATAGAAATACCATTTGAGTATTTCTATTTTAGAATACTAGAAAGAGTAGAATAAAAATGAGTAGAATGAAAGGGAATTCTTAAATGCAGATATGCAAATAGACAATGAAGAAACTTAATTTTACCAACAGAGGAGCACAAAATAAAACAGTGAGATATCATTTTTTCCTTTAGTCCTAACCCTGATCCTGAACCTTTGTGTTGATAAATATTAAAAAGATTGATAATGTCTAGTATTGCCAAGACATTTACATTTATTAATGGTGAGAGGATGACTTATTTTATGACTTTATGTTTTGGGAAAATAAATTGGAGGTATCTTTAATAATTATATTTTGTAAAATAACCTTTAACTCTGCAGTTCTACTCTGGTAATTTCCAAAGAAATAGAAGCACAGGTATAAAAAGACATAGAAACAGTTATTTAGCACAATATTGATTATCACGTTGTAGTAAGTAGCAGCATGCCAAATACCTATCAATGAAGAAATGACAAAGGCATGCATCAGAGATATTGTAGCTTCAGTTCCAGATGATCATAATAAAATGAATATTTAAATTAAAAAATCAAGGACGAAACTATAGAAGCTGTATGAAATAGGCAGAAAGGAAAATATAGATAGCAAAGCACACATAAATATATCCAGAGAGAGATAGAGTTAAAAAAAAAAATTACATCCAAGGCAAGAATCAGAGTAAAAATATATATTAGGTAAAGCAGGGATTGATGACAATTAAGGATTAATGAATGTTTGGACTTCTTTTCTTTCAGTTTTATGTATGAATTAATTAAAAGTTATATAATATTTCATTTGTGGTACGTCATATTTACTAATTGTAGTAGTCTTATATGTAAAACTAGAGATACTCCAATATAAAAAGGTCTTAGTGTTTGTAGCTGAGTATATTAGTTTATAAGTGTTGCTGTAAAAAATGGTATAGTCTGGATGGCTTAAAAAGCAGAACTTTATTATCTCAATGGTTCTGCAGGCTAAAAGTCCAAGTTCAAAGTGCTAGGAGGGTTGGGTTCTTTTGAAGTCTCTCTCCTTGGCTGCAGGTGCCACCCTATTGCTGTGTTCTCACATAGTTTTTTTCTCTGTGCATTCACATCCTTGGTGTTTCTTTGTATGCCCAAATTTCCTTTTTATAAACACACCAGTCATTGGACTGGAACCCACCCTAACTGGTACATTTTAACTTAATCACATTTTTCAAGGCCTCATCTCCAAATACAGTCAGATGTGAGGTACTGGAAATTAGAGCTTTGACACAATTCAGACCAAAGAAATGGGGATAGGTAGTAGTTCCCCAATGGAGGAGACAAGGAAGGGTAGCTTGGACAGAGAGAGGAGCATATGCCACAGGAAAAAAAAAAAAAAAAACATGGACCACACGATGCATTCTTAAAAAGTTGAATTAGTACAGTTCAGAGAAATTCAATAATAAGACACATTCAATGATTGTTTTGTGACTTAGATCCATTAAGAAGATCAACTTTTGATGAAACACCATTCATGTCATCATATCCTCATTAATATATCATCCCCCAATCCCAAGTGAACTCTAATTGTGTCTCTGGAGATTGAGGTTCTTATTTCTGGGCTGCTGCGTGGGGAGGTGTCTCAAAAAGAAATTGAGGTAATATATATATATATATTGGGTCCAAAGAAGTCACATCAAACACCAGAGGAGAGGGAAAAGGGCGTCACTTTCAAGAACTGACCTTTCCAAACTAAGGGGTAAGCACCTGAGATCAGGGTCAACTAAGCAGTTTGGCTTCTCCGTGACCTCAGCTGCAATTAGAAGGGGAATGCAGAGTCTGACCTGGCTCTGAAACATGCACACATGCACACACACAGACACATACACACACACAGACACTCCCTGCTAAATTGGTTTCCATTCAATGATATATATTGCCCTCTTCCAGAATTTGACATTGAGTGTGACATTTATGCTGGACCATTGTATATTCAGTTACACAGTAAAAAAACTCAAGATGGCAAAAAAGTGTGACCTGCCTTTTTACTCCAATAGTTGTGCTACTCCAGAAATTGTGTGTGATATTTTCACTTCTAGGTACTTATTTTCAAGTGTGTGTGAGATGCATTCCTTCCATAGAATTTTTCTTGCCCCAGTGGAGGAAGCAGGGAACAGGGCTGCTACAAGGGAAGATGCATCTAGACAGGTCGTCACTCTGTATGAGATTCTTTAGCATGATTGGCTCTGACATTTTCTGTTTCTTTTATTAATAGTTGACATTCACATACACTTGCAATTTATTTCAAACTCAGTGGATCTGTGGTCTTTGAGGTGAGTCATTTTTATTTGCTCTTGTTTTTTATTATGATATAGTACACTGTGCTGGGAGAACCCACTTGAGGATAGATTTTGTGCTGAATATTTTGAGCTAGGTTAGAAGTAGACAGTACTGTAGTAAAAGCAGCTTCTGGATATAAAGTAGTTAACCAATTATTCATGTTAGCAATATTTATTAAGTGCCAAATAGTGGCTAGGAACTGTTCTTTGTGCTGGGATACAACAGTAAACAAAACAGAGAAATATTGTGCTCTGCAGGTATTTCATTCTGGTGAGGAGAACTAGGCAATCAGTTTAATAAACAGGAGGTAGAAAATGACAACAGACATGTGAGATCATAGAACGGTATGTGGGTAGAGTAATAAGGATCAGAATTATTGGTAGGAAACAGGCATGGAATTTTTTTTTAAAAGAGTGAATTGCATGGACCTTAGCTGGAAAATGATGTTTGAAAGGGACATAAAAGAGATGAAGGGATGAATCATACCAATATCTGGAGAATACAGTTTCAGGTAAAGAGAAGAGTCAAAAGTCTTTGATGCTGGGGCAAGAATGGCCCATTTGATGAAGAGTGGGAAAGTCAGCAAGGCTGGGGCAGAGTGAAGGAAGTGGCAAGCATGGTGAGTGTTACGAAATAAGGTCCTTTAGGTAAGGGAGGGACAGACTATGGATGACCTCTAGGCCATTGTGGATTTTACTTTGAATAAATTGGGAGCCTTCACAGGAAGTTAAACATATGGGCAACATTGCTTTATTATTTATCTATTTATTGGCCCATACTGGTTGCTGTATTGAGAATATAGTATAAGGGACAAAGATGTAGTTGAGTTAGACGGCTATTACAATACTCTTGGCAAAAGATGATGGTGATTTGACCCAGGATGGTAGCAGCAGAGGTGGTGAGAAGTGATCAGATTCAGAATAAGTGTTGAAGGAAGAAA